TTAGCCAGTCCACTATTTTTCAAAATTTGCTGACCTCTCTGCCAAATGTTGGTGGCTTTGGTTTTTGTTGGTGCCAAGTTTGAAATTTTGGCACGGGACATCATTAACATAGTCTTAACCACTACACTCTGCTGACGTTTTGCAAAATAAAGTAATTTTACACAATTTTGCATAACGATGTACAATTGCATAATAATGGCCTAGCGAAAAGTGGAAACAGACTCATGCGTCATTGCTGCAGTCACTTCCACAGCAGAAACCGCTGGCTGTGTATTTATTTATGCTTCATTCATAAAGATCTGAAACGCTTCCATTTGCCGCTTGTGAATATCAAAGTGATCTCCACATCCATATCTGTCTCATGAAATATACATCCTGTTCAAACGTACCCAAATGACTAATTTTCTGCTCTTTAAAGATTAACATAATAAAAATCTCATGACAACACTAGATAGAAATGTTACCATTAATTGTGGCTTGAAGGGAGCAGTGTTTCCCGCACAGAAATTAACAAAGCACACGTCCCAATTTTCCCTAATGGACTGGAGACTTGAAGACATTTCTCTAAGCAGCAAGCGTTCCTTGTGCGCTTGCGTTTCCTTCTCTGGGCTAGAAATCAAATCAGTTCTTTTAAAATGGAACGGAAGCCGCTGATGAGCAGCACAAGTGCTGAATAGAGAGTGTTGGATGCAAATCGAAGCCAACCAGTCTATCATTTCCAGGTTATTAAATGCGCACCAGCACCATGGAAACATTTTTTTGGTTATCTTTAAAAACCCAGAATTGGATAAGATGTTATAGGAAATGAGGAGGGCTGCCCATTGCAGCATTTTCACATGACAAAAAAAGAATTGAGGGATTATTCTGAATCAGTGCATCTTAGACTAAGAATGTCCGTGGCTGAGGAGAGGTACCAGGAGTACAGTTACCAGCAGCCTCACGGTGGCACCTGAAGTCCTCCCAGAATTACAACTGATTTCCAGACTACAGAGATTAGTTCTCCTGCAAGAAATGACAACTTTGGAGGGTGGACCCTGTGATACCACAACCCCATTGAGCGCTCTCCCCTCCCCTCTCCAGACTCTGCCTTCCCTAGACACTAACCCCAAATCTCCAGGAATTTCCCCAGCTGGAGTTGGCAGCCCTAAGCAAGAGAAGATGTTACGTGCATGGAGTTGTGTCTCCATGCTTATGTACATTTGTCAGTTGTCTCCAGGTTTACCAGGGGCTTAGTCATACCCAGTGAAAAACCTAGGATAAAGGGTCTTGTGCAATTGTGACCAACCCCACCCACAAGTGGGGCCAGTCAGTCTGACTTCGATACCGGGTAAGTTGGTGGAAACTATTATTAAGGAAAGAATTAATAGGCACATAGATGAACAAAACCTATTGAGGAAGACTCGGCATGGGTTCTGTAAGGGAAGATCTTGTCTCACTAACCTGTTAATGTTCTTTGAGGGAGTGAACAAACATGTGGACAAGGGGGACCCAATAGATGTTGTTTACCTTGACTACCAGAAAGCTTTTGATAAAGTTCCTCATCAAAAGCTCCTAAGTAAGCTCAATAGTCATGGGATAAAAGGACAAGTCCTTTTGTGGATCAAAAACTGGCTGATTAATACGAAACAGAGAATGCGTATAAATGGGCAATTTTCTCAGTGAAGGGTGGTAAGCAGTGGGATACTGCAGGGACCAGTACTCGGTCCAATGCTTTTTAACTTGTTTATTAATGATTTGGAGTTGGGAGTAATCAGTGAAGTGGCTAAATTTGCGGAAGACACAAAGTTGTTCAGGGTGGTGAAAACCAGTGAGGATTGTGAGGCACTCCAAAGGGATCTGTCGAGGATGGGCGAGTGGGCGTCAACGTGGCAAATGGGGTTCAATGTGGCCAAGTGCAAAGTGATGCACATTGGAGCCAAAAATCCTAACTATAAATACACGTTGATGGGGTCTGAACTGGCAGAGACTGACCAAGAGAGAGATCTTGGAGTCATAGTAGATAACTCAATGAAAATGTCAAGACAGTGTGTGACTTCAATAAAAAAGGCCAACACTATGCTGGGGATTATTAGGAAGGGAATTGAAAACAAATCAGCCAGTATCATAATGCCCCTGTATAAATCAATGGTACGTCCTCACTTAGAGTACTGTGTACAGTTCTGGTCACCACACCTCTAAAAGGATATTATAGCATTGGAAAAAGTGCAGAAAAGAGCTACTAGAATGATAAAAGGGTTGGAACACTTTCCCTATGAAGAAAGGTTTAAGCGCTTGGGGCTCTTTAGTTTGGAGAAACAATGGCTGAGGGGTGACATGATCGAGGTTTATAAGATTATGCATGGGATAGAGCAGGTCGAGAAAGAACTACTTTTCTCCCTTTCTCACAATACAAGAACATGTGGGCGCTCCATGACATTGCTGAGTGGTTGGGTTAGAACAGATAAAAGGAAGTACTTCTTCACCCAAAGAGTGATTAACACATGGAATTCACTGCCACAGGAGGTGGTGGCGGCTACAAGCATGGACAGCTTCAAGAGGGAACTGGATAAACATATGGAGCAGAGGTCCATCAGTGGTTATTAGCCACAAGGTATAAATAGGAACTCACAGGCTGGGGCAGGTGATGCACTGTATTCTTGGTGCTTGGGGGGGCAACAGTGGGAGGGCTTCTAGTGTCCTGGCCCCACTGATGGACCTCCTGGTGGCG